AAGCACCAATCTCGGCACATCCCGATGAGGAGGTGGAGTAAATGAATGAGGATATCTCTACCGCCATGGATTCCTCCAAAACCCACTATACGGTGTTAATGGGAGACTTCAACGCAAAATTAAGCACATGAAAGAACGGCGAGCTGAGGTGGGGCAGGGGATGCTAAGAATCTCCGTTGGAGGTTCAGTTGCCACCTAAGATGACTCGATCTGGCAACATACAACGTACGCACCCTGTACACTAACGAAAAGATCCTGAAGCTAGAAGAAGTTGCGCTGGGATATTATAGGATTATCTGAATTCCAAAGAAAGGGAGAGGAGGAGGCCACGGAAATCCTCGAATCCGGCAACTTATTCTATCACCGGGAGGGTGACCATCTGCCCCAAGGAGGTGTCAGATTTATCGTCCACAAGTCTCTCGTTAACAACGTAGTAAAGATTGTAAGCGTGTTGCGTACCTTATACTCAGAATCACCAAACGGTATTCGTTGAAGATCATACAGGTTTACGCACCAACCTCGAGATATCCCGATGTGGAGGTGGAGGAAATATATGAAGATATCTCTAAAGCCTTGCATACTATGTTAATGGGAGACTTCTACGCAAAACTAGGCACAAGAGAAAACGGCGAGCTGAGGGAAGGGAAATTTGGAATAGGGCAACGTAACCCAAAGGGCCAACAGCTGACCGACTTCGTGCAACTTTTCAGTGATGTCTCAGTGATCACGAGAGTAAAAACTGGTAGCGATCACCGAATGGTCAGAGACACACTGAACCTAAACGTTAAATTGAAGAGATGTCGTCTAATGAACTCAACGCACGTAGCGTTCGTGCTCTAATCCAAAGTCCCTAAACCTTTCAGCTCGAGTTACAATACCGTTTTCAGTGTCTAGAATGCATGCAGTGGACGATATCAATGACAAGCTCGTGGAAACTGTCCATGCGGTCGGAGCTAAATTTTGCAAGACCAGCCGCAGATTTTTAAAAAACCCCTCGACCGATTTCGATAAAATTTAAATGGGACCACCTGGGAAGTATACCCTTTGAAACAAAAAAAAGAATTTTCCAAACCGGTTTAGGCGTCTTTGAGTAATCGGTGAACATACTGTTAAGCGCCACCATAAATAACTGGTACATGGCAACACTAGTTACCGCTAGCGCCCTCTAGTATCAAGTAGCAGAACTAGGAGAGTCAAGATCCTTTTAGAAATTTCCATGAAAGAACTTTCTAGAACTATCGACACCTAGTAAATCGGGACCGGTATGTACTCGAATATTCTAGAGGTTTCTACAGTAGAAGGTTCTGGAACTATCTGAGGACCTATATAAGGCCGGTATAGACCGCGACCGGGGTCAGTGTTGAATTAACGATACAATCGAATACTTCGAAGCGATACAACTGCGAACTAAAGTGATCAGTAGTACAATTACGTTTTGGTAGTAGTGTGGTTTTAAGTTGTAGTTAGTGTTGTGTAATTAAAGTGTCAATTTTGGTAATTCACTATGCAGTTTTTAATTGTCTTGAACCCCAAGCTCATAAAAATACTAATAAAATAATTAATTAAATGAGAAACTCCTCCTTTTCTGCCGACTTCCAAAAAGGAGACGGTACTCAATTCGAGTCTATGTTTTTTTTATGTGTGTTACCTCATAACTTTGTACTGGGTGAACCGATTTCGATGATTCTTTTTTTATATGAAAGCTGATAATTTCCGTGTGGCCCATATGAATTTGATCAAGGTCAGACCAATGGTTATTGAGTTATCTTTAAATAACTTATATTGAAGACGCTTATATTGAAGTCGGCTGTACAAAATTTTTAATTTTTAATTATTTGAAGTTGTTTCAAACAGTGTCTCTGGTGTACTCACTCTACAGTCGGTTCATACAAAACTTAGCAGCATTAAGCTGCTATTTTACGCTGGTATTCTTTGTGAGCGTAATCCTTCGTGAATAATCAAAAAATGTTGTTTTAGTCAAAATCGACAGCTAGACATCATCATCAACACTATTACAGCCCTTCACGAGTCCACTACTGAACATAGGCCTTCTCCAAGGAATGCCACAAAGCACGGTCCTGAGCCACCTGCTTCCAACGACATTCTGCATGTCTTACCAGGTCGTCATTCAATCTAGTGGGGGGACGCCTTACACTTCGCCTACCGGTACGAGGCTGCCACTCGAGAAACTTTATTCACCTCTCTTAAAAATTCAGAACCAATATAAAATTCAGAATCAGATTTAAATACAGAGGTTACATGAAGGTGTCTGTGGGTCAAGTCGCAGACAAATAAGTACACAGTCCACTTGATTGTTTATGACCTTTACCTATTAAAAACTACTTTTAATAAATCACAAAAACTAAACAACAAAAAAAACTATCACGAAATTCTCGGCCACCTTATAACTAATCCTTATTATTAGGTGAAACGAATGAACAAAACTTGGAACTAATACAAACTTTCTCCAATACTCCATTGACTAAATATAGCGAAGTGAACGCATTAATATTTTACACAAGTTACGGTAACTAATAAACAGTATGTTTTCCTTGTTCCAAAGATAGGCCATTCCCAAGTCTTTAGCATGTTATAAGTAAGTCACAATGCATAGATGAGATACAAGACAGAGGCGCTCATTTAAAAAAAAAATACCCACTAATTTAATTTGTGTTAGGGATAAAAATCAAAATGAGAATATGCCCTCTTATGCGATAAAAAGATGTTAAGCGCCGATTATTGTGTTCATAAGTATTTTCGACATTCCGACATTTTAGATTTACTGATGAAAGTAATCAGTACTGTTTATTTTGATTTTATTTATTAAGATATACAAGCAAATGTTAAAAGTTATTTATAAAATTATTATCAAAAAAGAGTTTAATATGTGTACATTCACCGTATACCACATATTATTAGTATAAACAATAAGTAACGATAGAAGAGAAAAAGTTACTATCACAAAAGAAAAACATAAGTATTAAACAGTATAAAATAATCTTGCACGAATCAAATATTAAATTTGTAATACCTTTTTTTCATAGAATAACGGTGACAAACGAGCACACAGTCCACCTGATGGTAAGTAGTTGCTGTGGCCCATAGACATCTATCTTCGATTGCGAATTAAAATGTAGATGCGTTTTTTTTTTATAGGCGAGGGGGCAAACGAGCGTGCGGCTCACCTGATGGTAAGTGACTAACGCCGCCCATGAACAACTGCAACACCAGGGGAATCGCAGATGCGTTGCCGGCCTTTTAAAAAGGAGTACGCTCTTTTCTTGAAGGTTCCTAAGTCGTATCGGTCACTGATGGTAATCGATTCCACAAGGAAGTCGTGCGAGGAAGAAAACATCTTCTAAATCGCACGGTGGTAGACCGCCAATCATCCAGATCGTATGGATGGTATCGGGAGTTCTGCCGCGATGTTGTCAGGAAAGATAGAATGCCTCTTTTCCAGTAAAATGTGTTTCCGGTTCTCTACACTCACCATACGAAACACAGCAGTATTAAGCTGCATTTTACGCTGGTATTCTGTGAGAGAGTGGTCTTTCCCCGGTCGAGCTGACCCATTCGTGCTACAACTATACTATTAATATAGTTGCAGTATGCGTCTGCTACGTAAAGAAACCTGTAATTTATTCTTAATATATATTTTTAAAGCACAAATGTGAGGCAGCAAAAATATAAATATCGCTAAAGTAATCATAATATGATTTCACTATGCGTCTCAATAAAACAAACAGATACAGATGTTGTTGTGTACCCATTTGTCTTTCAATAGTAGTTGTTCTGCAAACATCGTACCTGTCGGTTCGAAACCCGGTTGGAGGGCGTAAGTCCTTCCCAAGTTGACCCAATCGTTCCGTCAAAAATTATTAACTCTCAACGTACACAGAGGGGTATCTGTATATATGTGTATCTGTGTTTCTGTGTATCTGTCTATCTGTGTATTTGTCTATCTGTGTATCTGTCTATCTGTGTATCTATCTATCTGTGTATCCGTGTGCCTATCTGGTGTATCCATAGCTCCTGAACCGATGAGCCGATTTTGATCTAGTTTTTATCGTTTGAAAGGTAATTGAGAAAATCTGTTCAGACGCTTGAAAATCATCAGCGCATTTGGTTTCGGGAATTTTTAAAATATTTAATTGTAGATATTGCAGATATTTTTATAAACTCAGTGTGAAACTTTCGCTAGAATAGTGAACTACTACTGCCTAGCTAAACTATGGTCTTTTAATGTCTGGGTCATTTCACACCAATCCAAAATGAGCGATTTCACACGTAAACTTGTGGCGGCGCTGTCGTCGCGCCACAAGTGAAACACATCGAAACCTAAATCGCACTAACAAAGTTCCGAAGTTAAAGCAGCATATATAGAATATCTCCGAACTACCAGTCGGAGCGTTGGCCGCTCCCCGGACAGAACACCTTGCCCGGCGGGAGATCCCCCCTTTTCCTTCTACCCGCCACGAACTAAAATTATAATGTTATTTTGATACCAAAATGGCCACTGATCCCGAAGTTAGCGGCGTAAGTAAAACCATCAGTCTATTTTATGGGATACCCTGGGTGTATTGAAAGGGACGAGACCCAATTGCTGACGGTATTACCATCTCGTGTACAAGTGAGATGTAAAATATCCAGTCCGGCGACGGGGAGCACCGTCAAATATTTGAAATACCTGGTAATGCCATTACAATTCGCCAAGATGCCATGGAATCACTTTGAGGACTTAAAATTAGTGACAAGGCTTCAATTTAAAAACCGAAAATAATCAAGACCTAAAAACTAATTATTTGCGTGCAATATCAAAAGAAATATGTTTTTTTTTTATTGAATTTCTGACAAAAAAATTATATGATAAATAGTAAATTTTGAAATACGCATACACATTATTTATTTATCTCTCTTTCCACTCATTACTCTGTGCTCAAAACGAACATCCCATCCCAGTAAAGCTCAGGGCGCGCTAGTTTAATACGAAACACGTCGGCATGTGGACGGGCGCAGGATTGCTGGCACTAGTGGCCTGCGCGAGCGCAGTTACCCGGGACCAGTTCTACCCCTTTGGCCCTTCACTGGACCAAAGACTGCCTCCGGGGCAATTGCCCTCGCCTGAAGTAAACTTAAAAGTACCGATCGTCTTCTATGGAGAAACATACGAGTCAATATTTGTAAGTTTTTTTTTAGTATTTATTGCTCGAGTGCTTATTATTTGAGTAGAGTAAATTAGAGATAGTGATTAAGCCTGAAAAAATTCAACAACTTCCATTGATAAGCTTAGTTTTGAAAGAGGATAACATTAATAGGAGTTCTGTCTGTACAACTACAACTATTCAATTTATTTTTATGCTTGTGGTAGCGCCATGATGCAGCTAGTATATCTGGTTTTGGCACAAATGAGTTAGCTCGACCGAGGAAGGACCACGCTCTCACAGAACACCAACTTCCGAGTGATGTAATCGGCGACCTTTTTTATTGGCAATGAAGCATTCCATCTCAGTCCTCAGGGGTGACAACGCATTCTGCATTTTAATTTTTCAATCGAGGAGCGATGCCTATGAGCCACAGCATCCACTTTTTATCAGGTGGACTATGTGCTCGTTTTTCATCCTTATTCTACAAAAAATATTTAAATATCAAAATAATAATTCGTTAAAAAAAACTAAAATTATCAAATAGTTTTTCTACTCTTAACGTATACCGTTAGGCTTGCCAACTACAAAAAAGGCATTTCCGGGAATGCCCAGCTTGACATCCGGGACTTGGATATATTACGCGGAACACAATAAAAATTGGTTAGAATTTTTTTAATAATGTGTAACAAATTAGTGTCGTTGATACAAGACAGATACTAATATCGTATAGTCACTGTTTTCCGGGACAAAAAGCGTCCCGCATGGGGTCACAGCTGGACGTCCCGGAAAATCCGGGCCGGTTGGCAAGCCTAGGTATAGCGCCAAGAACGCTGGCTGCGTTTTTTCGGTGACGACCATTCACGGATATAGCTCTTTAAGAAACTACATCTTGAGTGGACCACATGAACCGATAGCCACAGTAAATGAGACAAATATATAGTCATCACTCACAGACTCACAATTGCACCACTTACTGAGTTCAGCAGATTTTGATGCGGCTCAGGTTATGACGTACTCCAAAGAGGAGAAGCCGCCAAAGTGTACGCACGTAGCTTTTTCTGCCGACTTCCAAAAAGGAGACGGTACTCAATTCGACTGTATGTTTTTTTAAGTGTGTTACCTAATAACTTTGTACTGGGCGAACCGATTTCGATGATTCTTTTTTTATATGAAAACTGATAGTTCTCGTGTGGTCCCATATGAATTTAAGCAAGGTCAGACCAATGGTTATTGAGTTATTCTTAAATAACCTATATTGAAGTCGCTTATATTGAAGTCGGCTGTACAAAATTTTTAATTTTAAATTATTTCCCTACATTTTCATATCGTAGGTTTGTACATTTTGTCATTTAAGCAAAACACTGATTGTTAATATTTTCCCATAATTGTCTTTTAAATGGAAAACAATATCTTTGACGTTCTTACCATATTATTATCATCAATTTCAATCGCTCAATTTATTCGATCCCCACACATAATCATGCATGAGGTTATTTAAAATAAATATAAATGTTTAATTAAAGTTAAATGTTTATAACTCTATTATTAGAGGGTATGTAAGTTCCTACCGCTCCTTTTGTCATTCCGTTTTGGTTCGTACCACGCTCTTACCAGTATCTACCGCCAAGCATCAATGCCACCAATGATGCGTTTAGGTTTTAAGATAGCCAGTAAAACTAGGAAGTAAGAAATGTCATCTAAATCCTCATGAGTAACAACGCAACTGCAGACGGTAAAGAATAAGTTGGTTGCAAGTGTCCATGGATAGATATAGACTTATATTAACAACAACATGTCGCTTTATGTGAAAAATGTGTGAAGTGAATGTGAAAAGTGGCGTTGTGGTGCGCCCGGGTTAAAAATAAATTTTATATTTACCCTGTAAAAAGTTCGGAAGGAATTTGCAGTGAAAATCATCACGCCATCTACCGGAAAGTGCAGAACAATGTCTGCCAAGTCAGTTTTATATAAACAGAGAAATAAATTATTAACAGTGTACATTAGCCACAGATGAGCTTACCGCAGATGAGGTTGACACCTAGAAAAAAAGTTGGCATATATTCACCTTTATGCCACAGTAGTACTAGTACCTTTTACTTTTTTCGTATAGTAGTCTATTTTAAATTTGGAACATTTTTTATTTAATTATATCATAATTAATACTTTAAAGTATTTCATTAGTTAATAAAGCATCATAGATTCCTAACGCACGCATTCAAAACATGCAAATTAGGGCGACGCTAAGGGCAATCAAAACAACACATTAACAAAACGAAATTAATGACAAAACGTATTACTTGTCCTCAATAATTCTCCAGTCTAAAGTTTATAAGGGCGTGAAATAAATGTTTATTAATTCTTTATTATAAAGTCGTGTTCATATTAAAGAATATATCATTTAGCAAACTTATTTTATTTTCCAAATTTGTGTTTTCTGCCGACTTCCAAAAAGGAGCCGGTACTCAACTCGACTGTATGTTTTTTTTTTCGTTTTTTTTTTATGTGTGTTACCTCAGAACTTTTTTCTGGGTGAACCGATTTCGATGATTCTTTTTTTATTTGAAAGCTGGTACTTCTCGTGTGGTCCCATATGAATTTGATCAAGGTCAGACCAATCGTTTTTAAGTTATTCTTAAATAACTTATATTGAAGTCGGCTGTACAAAATTTTTAATTTTAAATTATTGTAGGTATCATATATTCAATTAATTTAGCGACGATTGGCTCTTTAATATTTTTTTTAAAGAATAAGGGTGACAAACGAGCACACAGTCCAATGGTAAGTGAATGCTGTGACCCATAGACATCTACATTGATCCTCGATTAAGAATTAAAATGCAGATGCGTTGTCACCGCTGAGGACTAAGATGGAGAACCTCGTTTCCAGTAAAAAGGGTCTCCGGTTTCTACACTCACCAGACGAAACACACCAGCATTATGCTACTATTTCAGGCTGGTATTCTGTGAGAGCGTGGTCCCACCCCGGTTGAGCCGACCCATTCGTGCAACAACCATAATATAGCTGCAGCATGGCTCTACCACGTAAAAAATAATATAGTAGGTATCAATAACACAACACTGTGTAGTGGCGGCGTAAGAAAGTACCTACTATCCCAATCATCCCATCGTTTTCGTAAGAGACAGCAGTGGAAAATGAGACTAGTGTGGAGCAGCAGCATTTTCCTCACAACAACTCAAAAGTTCTAATGTAAAAAGTGTTGTTATTGTAAAGACGATTATTGGAAGAAATTTGACACACAGACCAATTAATACATTATGTGATTGGTACTTATTACTACGAAAAATACAAAAATTCTGGAACCACTAGCAGAAGCTAATCAATCAACTTATATACTTGATTGTACACAAATATCATCATCATCATCATTATCATCATCACAACCTTTCATAAGTCCACTGCTGAACATAGGCCTCCCGCAAGGAATGCCACAAAGCACGGTCCTGAGCCACCTGCATCCATCGACTTCCTGCATGTCTTACCAGGTCGTCACTCCATCTCGTGGGGAGTCGCCCTAAACTTCGCCTACCGGTACGAGGTTGCCACTCGAGAACCTTTCTTCCCCATCGGTTGTCGGTTCTTCGAGCTATATGGCCGGCCCACTGCCACTTCAGCTTACTAATCCGTGGGCTATGTCGGTTACTCTGGTTGGAATGCGGATATCCACATTTCTAAGTTTATCACGTAGAGAAACCCTGACCATAGCCCTCTCCATAGCTCACTGAGCGACCTTGAGCTTCCTCTTACGACCAGCAGTGAAGGACCACGTCTCAGATCCGTAAGTCATCACTGGCAACACGCACTGGTTGTATAATTTCGTTTTAAAGTTTTGAGGTATGTCTGACGTACACAAATATAGAAAACAAAAAATACAGAAATTTTGGAACCACGAGCAGAAGCTAATCAATCAATTTATATACTTGATTGTACACAAATATAGATACTAAATTATTATCAGTATACAAAAATATGTGAACATGGGACAATAGAAAGTCTAATCGCTGTGCGAGTTTTTGTAAGATGGTCTGAAGTTGGTAAAGGATTGATTTAAAGTATGAATGATACAAAGACTGTTGACAATGAACTTAATTATGATAGGTGTAACGTTATATTAAAACAGTTTTGAAAAAAGTAAAACTGTCTTCAAAAACGTAAAAAAATACAATAATTTCCTTATAACAGCTTCTGAAGTCGGTAATAAGACTGCAGAAGGTATTATGTAGAAATTATTTGATATTTTTTTTGTAGTCGGTTTTACTCAGCCTGCATTATGTATTCTCTAAGATTTTACCTTTTTTAAAGATTTATTATTTTACACATTTTATTGAATTAAATAATTTCACGAGTTCTAGATAAGAACTAGAACGTCGTCAAGTAAAACATTTCCTATTACGTGACTATTTATATGGAAATACCCCTGAAATATAACGTATTTAAAAAGAAAAATCATTATAATCGGTTTAACTATTTCCGATAAATCGGTGAACATACATTTAAAAAAAACATACGCATCGAATATAGAACATTCTCGTGTTTGGGCACCAAATAATAAACTCTTGCTATGTTTTGGAAAGAAAGTGAGTTAAGCACATCGAATATATAGTGGAATGATAAGTATATATAGTCGAATGATAAGTACGTAGAGAGAAATTAGCATTGAATAAAATTACAGCGACTTCGTACCTAGCTTAGGTAGCCCAGAGCCCACAATAGAGGGAAAGAATCATTCTTAGTAAGCATTAGCAAGAAAGCCAGCGGATGATTTATTAAAAATAAGTACCTATTAAATTTAAATGTCTTTTGTAAAAATTTGCAACACTGATAGTGATAGGTTTATCGGTTATATCCGCAGAATGTTTAAATTTGCAAGCGAGTGCGATAACGCTTGGTGCACACTGCATCGGGCGGAAGCGCACGTGGGCGGTGCTGGTACCGGCGGTCACTGACAGCGCTTTTTAATCCTTTTAGGCAATTTTGATGACCTTTGATAGATACTGAACATTAAAAAAAACTCAATTAATTTAAAATAATATCTACTTTAGAAAATGTTACCATATTACTTTAAAGTTACTCAAATTTGATATTTTTGTAATATCTATTTTGTGTTAAGTAAGTCGACAGCTTGACTTCCAGTATTTACATTTATAAAAAAAAATATATATTCTTATTTTTATAAAGTTATGTTTGAAAATAAATCGAATTCGATACATAGCAAGCAATTCGATACAAGCACTGATACTGGCCGATTTTAGTAAACATCTGATAAGTAGATCTGATATCGATCGTAAATCATCTGATAAGTATCTGATAACTATTCCACTTGCAATATACGATTGTGTAGCCCTGGTGGGAATTATTTGCTCCACTCCACATCTGCGTTATGTTTTTTTTTTATTAAACTATAGGGACAAACGAACTAACGTAATTATATTCATAATTAATACTGATACATATAAACATTTCTTTATGGGATAACGGTGACAAACGAGCACACTGTCCAAGTGTCCAACTGATGGCAAATGGATGCTGTGGTCCATAGATATCTACATCTCGATTAAGAATTAAAATCCAGATGCATTATTACGCCTGAGTACTAAGATGGAATGCCTCGTTTCCATTAAAAAGGGCCTCCGGTTCTCTTCACTCACCACACGAAACACGGTAGCATTTTACGCAGTAATGTGAGAGCGAGGTCCTTTTCCGGTGGTCAGTGGCGTATCACACGTGATAGACGTGTAAATCGGTGTCATATTTCAATTTTATGCTGTCACCTCTTACGACACCAAATGGATAATATTATGGAATATTGGATTCTGTTAAGCGGCCGCTACACGGCTATATTCTTAAAACTATAATTTTCTTGAAAATCAAAATGCTTGTTATACTTTTGCTTTAGCTAAATACCACTTATTGTCACTTACAACTGAGACCCAATTAAGGAACGACATGAAAACAAGTCATTACAAAATGTTTTCTCAAACAAGTCGTTAACAATTTAAGAAGCGACGTTGCGTTATCAATGAGTTAAGCAAGAGTCGGGACCTCTGTTCGTACCTACGTTTTGATACGCCACTATCAGGAAAGGGGTCATAGGCATACTGTACGAGCCTACCTAATCGTTGTGGTAAATTACTATGCGTGTTACGTAAAATGTATGAAGAATACAATGAATAGATTACATTTTAATATAATTATCGTTGCCTGTGCTGATAAATGTTTGATACAGTGTTGCTATCGTAGCGCAAATAAAATTAAAAATAATGAAATAACTGCGGTTGCTAACCTGCCTGCCAAGCGTGGCAAATAATGCAAATATCCCCCCTATGAAGCAATATATGCGAGAGACCGTTACGTATTACGTGGTAGAGCCATGCTGCAGCTATATTAGTAGTATAGTTGTAGCACGAATAGGTCGGCTCGACCGGGGAAGGACCACGATCTCACAGAATACCATCGTAAAATAGCAGCTTAATGCTGCTGTGTTTCGTATGGTGAGTGTAGAGAACTGGAGACCTATTTTACTGGAAAAGAGGCATTCTATCTTAGTCCTCACGGCTGACAACGCATTTGCATTTTAATTCGCAAACGAAGATAGATACAGATGTCTATCGGCCACAAAAAAAATTGTACTTCACGAAAAACACACACATATAGTCAGTCATATGAAATCCCAAATTCTGTATTCAATAATGTTTTGTTTATGTTGCATTTGCATTTCATACAAAAATATTGTACTTCGTATGCCTACAGAGTAGGACATAGTTGAACTTGATTATATAATTATGTATCTAACATCTATGTAATACCTATAATCCACGCAATAAATTATTCTGATTCTGAAACCAAAACATTGTAAACAACTAACATCCAGACTTAATTATTGAGTAGGGTGACAAACGAGCACACAGTCCACCTGATGGTAAGTGGTTGCTGTGACCCATAGACATCCACATCTATCCTCAATAAAGAATCAAAATGCAGATGCGTTGTCACCATGAGGACTAAGATGGAATGCTTCCTTTGCAGTAAAAAGGGTCTCCAGTTCTCTATACTCACCGTACGAAACACAACAGCATTAAGCTGCTATTTTACGCTGGTATTCTGTGAGAGGGTGGTCCTTCCCCGGTCGACTAACTGTTAATCCGGTCGAATAATCTGTTCTTCCTTCCTAGAAGAGACTTATACAATAGAAAACTGTTTATGAGCTAGTAAGAAACAAGATGCTTCATCACTGCTTACCACCGGGTACAATTGAATCGATTTTATTGGATCGAGCACTGTCCTATTATAAATTGAGGCACCTTTATCCTATAAAAAAGCAAGTTTTTTTATAAGATAAGGGTGACAAGCGAGCACACAATCCACTTGATGGTAAGTGGTTGCCGTGGCCATAGAGATCTACGTCTATCTTCGTTTGCAAATCAAAATGCAGATGCGTTGTCAGCTGTGAGGACTAAAATGGAATGCTTCCTTTGCAGTAAAAAGGGTATCTGGTTCTCTACACTCACCATACGAAACGCAGCAGTGTTAAGCTTCTATTTCGTTGTATACGAGTAGTAATCACTGCCATCTATTGTTTCTTTAAGAACTAGACTTTATTTTTAATCTTTCTGACATACTTGTGAATCTGTGTAACGTTTACACTTGTTGAAGTGAACATGTAATGAAATATAATTTAAAACTGAGAGCCATGGTAGCTCAGAAGCTTATGTAGCGCTCTCTATGAATTACACACTACATGATCATTCCGGGTCCGGTACCGTCGGCACCAATGAAATTGTTGATTGCAATTTTAAGTGCTGATCGACCACGTAGTCGGCAGTGAATGAATATTATCGTCACAAAAGCTACATGTCTAAGAAATAGAATATTTCGAAGACGGGAGCATCGTGTCGGACTAATTGCTTCAAAACCCTCTCATAAATGAAACGAGGCTTGTGGCCACCTGTGTAATAAGCTGTAACGTAACTTAACGTTTTACATGTATTGTTCTTCTTATATATTACGAGGTATATTTGCAGGTAAACAACTACGGAGTTCTCTCATTTAGGGCAGACATTCCAACATTTTTAAACACCGAATTTCCTCTACCCTATCCCTCCATAGCCGCTTTCTACACGAATGTCGACACAACAGAAACTGGAGCGGTATACTACAGAGAAACAGACGAACCTCATGTATTAGTCAAGGCCGAGGAGAGCGTACAAAACAACTTCCACGAATATTACGATTTCAAACCGAAAAGCGTATTCATAGCTACGTGGTTAGAAGTGACATATGCCAGTGACAAGAGACACGACCGCAAGAACAGTTTTCAGATCGCCGTCATCAGCAACGGGACCGAGTCGTTTGTCGAACTCATCTATCCCGAACGGGAGATACAATGGATACAAAGAGAAACTCAGCAAGTGAGCCTGCCCGATGCAAAAGCCCAGGCTGGCTTTATCGCCGAGGATGGAAGACTACTCACCCTCAGAGGCTCAGGCAGCCATCAAATTAGAAATATTGTTTCGTAAGTATACTTGTTTTATATAAAACTAGCTGTTCCCCGCGACTTCGGCCGTGTCTAATTTAGGTTTTTCTTAATGTTGCGCGGAACCCTAATGCTTATTTTAAAATATAAGTTTCCTAAGTTAGTCCCTATAACATCAGCTATCTGCCAGTGAAAGTCCCGTCGAAATCGGTCCAGCCGTTTCGGAGATTAAACTGGAACACACAGACAGACAGACAGACAGACAAAAATTTTAAAAATTGTGTTTTTGTTATAAGTAGTGACCGACCGAATATTCGGTTTCGGTTACGGTTTCAGCAAGTTTCGGCAAAAAAATCTAGTTTCGGTAATAGTTTCGGTTTCGGCAAAAAATCTGCCGATCCTTCGGCGGCGCCGAAACTCAGTGTTCGTGGATTATCGTGCGTCGTTCGGATTAGTTCGTGACTCGTGTATTATTCATAATTATACAGAAACAGAAACTTTTTTATTCAATATAGATTATAAATAATACTCATACTTGGTAATTAAACAAAAGAGTGACTACTCTTTTGTTTAATTACCACTGGTTTAAAAGAAAAACCTCTATCCTTGGAAGAACCAGCAAGACACCCAGCGGGACTTTTTTTTAAATAACAGCATACAATCAGAGGCGTAGCGTGGACTAATATAAACGTGGGCGAAGTTGCATCCGCGAGGCCGATTTTCTTTCGTTCTACTCTACCCAATAGATATATCCTACCAAACATGCTTTGACACGACATACCTACTCATATATCTATTAATTCCTGACAATCTCGTATTCCGTCAATGTTACATTCGCGGTCTTTGAAGGTAGTTACAACGGCCTCTCAGTCGCACTTAAGAGGGGCTTCTTGCGAGGCCCCAAACAAACACACTTAAATTTTTGACTTTCTTTTTCGAGCGTAAAGGTGATCAAAGTAATTCGTCACTTGTGGTAAAGTCTGGGGGCATTGAATTTTAGGGGGCCCCGCAAGGCCCCTTTAAGTGTGAGGCCGTGGGCGGGGGCCCACTACGCACACGCCTAGCTACGCCACACTTACAATCACGTATGTAACACAATTAACAACACAACAAATTAGAAATAGCTTGGTAGTGATCACGTCATTCCCAGGGGTTATTACCATCCATAAATTCCTTAATATTATAATAACCGTTTTTATACAAAATTAGTTTATTAAAGTTTTTGAACTTTGAGCAGGTTTTGTATATTTTCTGGGCTTTTGTTAGGTTGTGTGTAAGTGTGTGTGATATATTAAGTTAATGCTCTCATTGAATAATATTAACAATATTGTGAACACAATGAAATATGTTCTCAATTAGCGAGTAACTTTTTATGGGTGTAAGTGTTGATTTTTTTACAAAATGGACTTAAAAAAGTATTTCTTAACGTTAAATTGTTGATTTTTACTTTAAAAAAATAAATATATTGCTACATGACTATTACAATGACTGTTTTTCATTAACTTGCATTACTTATTTGTATATGTACAAAAATATTCCAGATTTCAATATATAATAAAAAAAATTAACATGTCTAAATAAGTTTCGGTTTCGGTTTCGGCCGAAACTCAAAAAATTTGGTTTTCAAGCAAATATTTGATATTAAAATTGTTTTTTCAGATGGTCCAACATCCACGAGCCAGGAAAATACGTATTCCGTGTTGGAAACATCCCGCCTGATGGTAATGTAGCTGTTCCTGATCAATATGATCAAAACGAGGTTGAAGATGAAGAAGAATCAAAAACATGCGCCCAAAGTGGTCCCAGTGTTTGCCATATCCAAGCAAGGTGTGTCGATTACCAAGCAGGAATATGCTGTCAATGCAATGAAGGATTCTACGGCAATGGAAAGTCGTGTATAAAGGACGACGTGCCGCTAAGAGTCCATGGAAAACTTAATGGCGTTATTAACGACATTAATTTGAACGATGTTGATGTACAAGCGTACGTTGTTGTGGCAGACGGTAGATCCTACACGGCATTATCACAAGCACCAGCCTCTCTTGGTAGTAGCCTACTACAACTTAGTGTTATAGGTGGTGTTATTGGCTGGCTATTCGCCAAACCATCTAGTTCAGCGAAAAACGGTTATCAGTTAACTGGAGCTCTATTCAATCATACAGCAGACATTTATTTCCCAGCAACTGGAGACAGAGTTTCGATATACCAAGAATATTTAGGGCATGATGTGTTTGATCAGATAACACTTGAGGCAGACGTTAGAGGAACGATACCTGTAATACCTGCCGGAACTAAACTTGATATCACCGAATACGAGGAACATTATACTCTCGTTGAATTAGGCGTTTTGCGCAGTGACTCTATTCGCACTTTTACAAACAAGGCCACTGATGAAAAATATGAGCAGAGAGTATCACAAACTTTTACTTTCAATTCTTGCCGATACATGCCACCATCAGAGGATGACGCAACTTCTTTGACTTTAAAAGTAGCTAAGAACTACTTAGGATATGAGCCAAGGGATAACCTAGTAAGATACGGAACTAGTAACAAGATTGTACCTTTGGGTAAAGAAGATCCTTGTGTTGAAGGCAGAAATAGATGTGGTCCTCACAGTACTTGCGTAGTACAAGGTGATACCTTTGCTTGTGTATGCCAGTCCGGTTTCTCAAGCCGATATCAAGATGATTTTAGAGTTGAATGTCAAGATATTGACGAATGTTCAATTGGAACGCACAACTGTGACACAAATGCTGACTGCTATAATCATGACGGTGGATTCCAGTGTAGATGTCGTCAAGGGTATGAAGGTAATGGTGTATTCTGTAATCGTATATCTCAATGCAGGGATAAAAATTGCGACTCTAATGCTCAGTGTGTAGATAATCCTGGGGAAGGAGCCATTTGTTTATGTAACCCTGGATATACTGGAGATGGACAGAGATGTTGGCAAACATACGAAAATAAATGTGATCGCTGTTCTCCCTATGCCAGCTGTGGATTTTCAACAGATACCAACAATTACAGATGTCAATGTAACGAAGGTTACAGCGGAGATGGGTATTACTGTACAGAAAACATACCTGAAGTTCCTACAACACCTGAATATTCAAGCAGACCAGATTATCCTACTCCGCCTACTACCCCAAACGCCCAAAATTATCCTAGTTATCCAAGTCAGTCACCAAGCCCTGATCCCACATATACATCTAACACTCCAAAGTATTCCACGGCATTCAATTATTCCAGCTACCCTCCCAATTATCCCTCGGTACCAAGTTATCCCAGCGCACCAAATTATCCAAGCTATCCTAATGTTTTTTTCACTCCTTCCAATTCTAATACGCCAACCAAACCCAATCTTCCGGAAGAATCTGAAGTGACTGATGCACCTACAACCAAAACAACCACACCTTCAATTAATGAAGCAGAGTATAATGAAACGTTTGTTTTGCCAAACTGCGATGCCTACGAATGTACGTGCCCTCCAGGATACTCAAGCTTTAGGGATGAAAGAAATAACAACTTATGCCGCCTTGATAGCTATAATCCACCAAAAACTAGTACTGATAGTGACACAGGAAGTAAGTAGAACTGAGTCAAACTTTATATTTTGTCATCTTTTTATTATTTATGTATTATACTCATTTATCTTTTTCCAGTCAGATGTGAAACGGATTCTGATTGTCCTCCTAATGCCATCTGTTCATATCCACCAACGGAGCCTTTTGGTCATAATGTGCAGTATTATGGTCACTGCGTGTGTCCTGAAGGTTACGAAGGGGACGCTTATGAATGCATAGAAAGAACTGGACCTAGTTGTTCGTGTGGTCTCAACGCGCACTGCATCGACACAGCAACTGGAGAACTTATTTGTGTTTGTGCCGCTGGCTACCACGGCGATGGGTATCTGTGCCGACCAAATTTCAGCTGTACAAACGATTCAGATTGTGAATACCACGCGGAATGTCGACCAGATCCAGGCAGTGGCGTATACGCATGTCAGTGCATTGAAGGTTATGTTAAAGATCAAAATGACGCTTGCATTCCTGATGGCCAACTGTGTAATGGCGCTGTGTGTGCCGAGCACGCCTCTTGCCTTTACGACGACGCAATTGGTGTGAGCTATTGCCACTGCGACCAAGGGTACGAAGGTGAAGGTATAAACCAGTGCGTCCCACAAGGAAACACTTGTGATGTTGCCCATGACTGCAGCCTCGATGCAGTCTGCACGCCTGTAGACCAATCATACCAATGCGTGTGCAGAGACGGTTTCGTAGGTGACGGCTACATATGCACTCCGGAGCAAAGCTGCAGAACGAATCCCTACATGTGTGACGTTCATGCCTCTTGTATTAAGGCAAGTGAGGGTTATGAATGCGAATGTAATACAGGGTACAATGGAAATGGAAGCTTATGTGAATTGAATCCACGACAGGCTGGAAACTTCTTGGTGGCCAGCGACGGTGCGTCAGTTTTTCGTGTACCATTCCGAACCTCGCCGAGAGATTTTGCAACACCACTGCATAGCGCAGTTTATCAGATGGCTGTCGGAATAGACGTAGATTGTCTCACAGGTAGAATTTACTGGGGCGATGTTGCAGGACACTCTATCAGGAGAGCTACATATGATGGGTCAGGCTTTGAACAGTTCTTGACTGATGGTAAGAATAAATTTAAAAGGACTTTAAACGTAAAAAAACTGCGTGAATCTAAAATGGAATTTATAATTTACAGATGTTAAAACGCCTGAGGGTCTCTCAATTGATTGGGCAGCAAGGAATATTTTCTGGACTGACTCGAAAAAGCTGACAATCGAAGTAGCAAACCTCGACAGGAAAACGAGGAAAGTACTGTTTTCCGCCGATGGTATTGTTAATCCGAGGGGAATTGCTGTACATCCCCAAAGAGGGTGAGTTCTTGAAAAATTTCCATTAGATCTTTATCCACAAATTTGAAAATTAATAAACAAACCTATCGTTGTATATTCACAGTAAAATCTTTTGGTCGGACTGGAACCGTGCCGCGCCTAAAATCGAATGGGCTAACATGGACGGCTCGCAAAGGGGAGTGTTCCTAGACCAGACCGATGTTAAGCTGCCCAATTCTTTAGCGATCGATTGGGCAAGAGACAGGTTGTGTTACGCTGACGCCGGCATATATAGCATTAAGTGTGTCAGTATTGACACGTTAGAAAGGGAGACCATAGCTGCGAATTGCTCACATCCATTTGGAATTGCTATCAACGGAAATACATTTTATTGGACTGATTGGCGGACGTAAGTTAATTAATAATTTATTTAAATACTTACTTTTAATATAATTGATGAAAAAAGTATTTCTTCAATATATGGTGGACTTATTTTCCCGGGTACTCGTATTCTCTACCACTCAACTAACTACTAGAACAAGCCTATTTGTCAAACGCAACTGTTTCTAGCGACTTCGAGGAGGAGGTACTCAATTCGACTGTATGTCTTTTTTTATGTGTGTTAACTCATAACTTTTTTCTGCGTGAACCGATTTCGATGATTGTTTTTTTTTTTTGAACGCTCATGTGTTCCCATATAAATTTGATCAAGGTCTGAGCAATAGTTTTTGGGTTATTCTTGATAATTTATATTGAAGTGGGTTGTACAAAATGTTAAATTTCAAATTATTTTATTACAATGTTATCAGGAAGATTTTGCTGTCCATTTCCTGGCTTAGTTTCTCTCTGTTGCCTCTTAGAACAACCACGGGATGAATTTTCTTACGCTACTACTACACGATAATAGCATTATAGTAGCTAGATGAACTGTAAACCAATGAAGAAAATAGATTCTAGTGGCAAAATCGCACAGACAAGCGGGGTGTAGGACGGCCCCCCACTGATAAGAAATGCAGGTGACTCTGGACCGTTCCACTAGCATCTTGGTGTTCCGCGTTGAGCAGTGGACTTGTAATGGTGACGATTACTTTATACAAACGAGCATATTATAGTCCACTTGATGGTAAAAGTGAATCCTGTGGTCCATAGACTTCTAATATTTTCATCGATTAATAATTAAAATGTAGTTGTGTTGTCACCCTTGAAGACTAAGTTGGAATGCCTCCTTACCAGTAACCAGGTGCTCTATACTCACCATACAAAGCACATTATTCGCTCATATTTCCGCTGGTATTCTATGAGAGTATGGTCCTACTTCGGTCGAGTCGACCCATTCGAGCGGCAGCCATAACAGAGGATCAATGTGTCTCCACCGCGTAAATGATGAAGATGAGATTGAAATATTATAGTACTCATCTTCTTCATCAGCTCCTTAAAGTACACGGCTAGAAATAGACCTCTCTCGTTGTAGAGATTTCTTTCAATCTTGAATCTGGATTTTACACTTGGCAGGCGGCATGACAATCTCGAACCTTTGAAGTGCTATCCGTTACCTGTCTCAATACTTTACGTCTTGTGTGAAAGAGATAGCTATACCGATATTTTTCGGAAGCCATAAAAGCTTTCTAGCATTACCCGTTGTTGCCTCTTACGACACCCACAGAACGATTGATATTGATTAAAGATTATCTTACACCGCCATCGCACAATAATTGTTATTATCTATACATCTATACATAATATGTATAAATAAAATTGAAGTCTCTGTTCTTAAAATCGAAATAACTGCCTTAACTGGCGTTATTTGCATGGCATTAAGGCATTAATAACTGAGACATATCCCAAATATACAAATGCTGCTCAATTTTAAGGTGCCGTTAAGTCTAGTGCTGTCTGTGACTGGCACCATGGAAATTAACGACATCTTTTAAATTTTTGTCGGTTAGACTTTCTTGAAAAAAATATGAAAATTTGATAGAATAGATAGTCTTTGATAGTACTTAAATATATACACAATACGCAAGCAACCCTTGTCTGATTCAACCGGCAGCAATGAAATTGTTAATTGCTGTTTTAAGTGCTGATTTACTTTAAGCAATCACAGGAAACCTGTTTCCAGCAATAGGACGTGTAAAGACTGTATGTAACATTACACATGCAAAACCTATACTATTTTAACAGTTTTACAATGATCTAAAAATTTCACTTTTTAAGTAGTAAATAATTAATCTATATCTATTTTACAGATTAAACATTGAATATATTGATACAATAACTCAAACAAAAGGCCGTTTACCCATAGCGGCCGCGACTAGAAGATTGTACGGTGTGACTGTTGCACCAGAGCAGTGTCCTACGCACACAAACGTTTGCCAGTACAGGAATGGCAACTGTGGTCTTAACCAACTCTGTCTGCCGGATGGCAGGGGCGGTCGAACTTGCGTAGATGGTGACAATACAAATAACTACTAAAATCTACTAATCAGCTAAATACTACCAGTCAATAGGTTTTAGGACAACTTTATACTGAATTTCTACCAAAGAGTAATTTACCGTATTTCTACCAAAGAGTAATTTACCGTATTTTCACCAAACTATTTGATAATTGTAAAAAATATTCTATGAAATATATGAAGCTGCATACCACGACAACGCTGTCATATCTAAAATAGTTTACGGTTAAATATTTGCTTCAGTTAGCACTCAATACTATTTTCTATGGGATACGTAAGGCCATGTTTGTGTGGAATGAATGTTTTAATTTGTATTTTCTTTTCGATCAAATGCAATGTTTTAACCGTTACAAAGTAACAGTTTATTTAAAATATTTTTCTGTAATTGAATAAAATTAATGTTAAGATTGTTTTAGTACTAATTTATAAGTCAGAAAGAAATACTCAAGTTTTAAATGCTTTAAAGATCTTTATTGTATTTATGAACAGATACCAAAACAATAGTTATTTATTATACATACATCACGTATATTTATTCTGTATACATTTTTTAATTTAGCTCAAAGTAAGTTCTATTCATATTCAAGTTTTAATTTAAGAATGTGCCATCTATATTCTTAATGTAAATATATTGCTAATAAATAATCTGAATTTATTATGTTATATTATTTTAAATATAGTTATTTATTGTTTGTTATAATTTTGCAAGGATAACAGTTAAAAATACTTTTTAAAAAATTATTTTTGTCAGCTGTCCACCAAAATTATTCCTCAGAAACAAAAGCCTGATCTAAAGTGGTAAAAGAAGTTTTTTAAGTCTACAATTACAAAAATTATTCACATTTTACATTTATACCTACCTATCTATACTTTTTTTATAATTTTACACTTTATTTTTAACTGTTTTACATTTGTGAAGCACAATTATTACAGAGTGCGAATATTATCAATTTGCACTTTTGTTTCATGTTATAATTGCATATCTTTGTAAACTAATCTCATAATCGGGTGGGCCATTAAAGTAAATCTGTTTTATGTTAAAAAGGTCTAAATTTTAATTAAATTCTTGTTTTAAGCCTAAGTCATTGCAACAAAAACAAAGTTCTGAAATTAGTAATACTATAATTTTTTTCTGTAATTATTTCTAAAAGAATAATTTAATAAAATGTCTAAACAAAAGCTTTTTACAATAAAATAACCCTACAAGTAACATGTATCAATATAATTTAAAGTACTTGTAAAAAAAATAGCTCCATGACCAATGTTTTATAGTCTTCAGCAATGTGTGACCACAGATTATCAATAATTTATACTCTGTAAAGCGACATTTTATCCCCACACATCTTCCGTGCGGCCAAACTTGAATACCAGCGACCCGGCGAATATAAACGCGTTCTGCATAAACAAACTCACTCCTGGCCAGGTGTGTTTATTGCTACCTGTAAAAGTTAAAAAAAATTACTCGCTCTTGGATCGTAAGTAGATGACCGAGATAAATAACCATACTCTATGTAATAAATTATATATTTTTAGACTTCTAATTACAATATTTTCTGCCGACTTCAAAAAGGAGACGGTACTCAATTCGACTGCGTGTTATTTTATGTGTGTTACCTCATAACTTTTTTCTGGTTGAACCAATTTCGATGATTCTTTTTTTATTTGAAAGCTGGTGCTTCTCATGTGGTCCTATATAAATTTGATCAAGGTCTGACCAATAGTTTTTGAGTTATTCTTAATAATTTTTATTAAAGTCGGTTGTACAAAATTTTTAATTTTTAATTATTTGTAGTGCCGTCCAAGCACTGCGGTACTGGAGACAACTAACGGCGGAGGGGTACTCACGCCCATTAGCTTTACATAAATGTTAGGTAATGTTATTTAGACACTTTCTGCTCTGTAGTGCGGGTCAAATGGGAAATAAAACATTTTAATACAGAAAACAGGCACTAGCTAATTGCAACAGTTTCGTAATACTTTCTGAAGCTAACGTCCGCGTTGAGGAAATTATAGTGCCACGAATGTGATCTAGTAGTCCACGGCAGTGTGTCAGCCAACTAAGTAAGGAAAACAATTGGGCAACCCACCGGCTTTGTGTATATTTACACCAACCAACCAACCATTTTGATCTACCTTCGAACCGATAAGCCAAACCCAACTCAAAAATTAAAAGACTTATGGCCAAATACTCAAATGATGCTCAATTTTAAGACACCGTTAAGTATCGTGCTGTCTCTATCACTTTAAGTCAAAGTGACTGTACACCACGGAACTTAACGGCATCTTTAAATTGAGTAATTAGATATTACGTGAGACTTGAGTTCAGGGCAAAATCAGAAAATTTAGTTTTCAGGTCAGGTTTAACTCTGACTGTTTTCTTTAGCACTGCATCATTTCAAGTTCATTTAAAAGAACAATTCCATCTTACCATCAGGTGTGGGGCAACATCATCATTATCATTACAGCCCTTCACTGCTGAACATAGGCCTCCCCCAAGGAATGCCACAAAGCATGGTCCTGAGTCACCTGCATCCATCGACTTCCTGCATGTCTCACCAGATCGTCACTCCATCTAGTGGGGGCTAAAAAAAAGGCTGCCACTCGAGAACCTTTCTTCCCCATCGGTTGTCGGTTCTTCGAGCTATATGACCGGCCCACTGCCACTTCAGCTTACTAATCCCCGTTGGGCTATGTCGGTTACTCTGGTTCTACTGCGAATATCCTCAATTCTAAGTTTATCACGCAGAGACACCCCGAGCATAGCCCTCTCCATAGCTCGCTGAGCGACCTTGAGCTTCCTCATACGGACAGTAGTGAAGGACCACGTCTCAGATCCGTAAGTCATCACTGGCAACACGCACTGGTTGTACAGTTTCGTTTTCAGGTTTTGAGGTATGTCTAACGAGAAGATGTGTCGTAGTTTTCCGAACGCTGCCAGTTCGAATCCGTCGATTGACCTCTCGGTCGAAGTTGGACTTACCTAGTCGAACTATTTGTCCCAGGTAAACATACTCGTCAACAACTTCGAGCTTAGTGCTCCCAACAACTTCCGGCACAGGTGTGACATGGACGTTAAACATGATTTTTGTTTTTTCTATGTTCATCTTAAGACCTATCCGTTGGGAGACACTATTGAGGTCATTGAGCATAGTGCTTAGGTCTTCCAACGATTCTGCCATAAGGACTATATCGTCGGCAAATCGAAGGTGAGTGATGTACTCGCCATTGATGTTAATACCGTATCCTTTCCAGTCCAGTAGCTTGAAAACGTCTTCCAATACAGCGGTGAAGAGTTTCGGGGATGTCACGACGTCACCCTGTCTTACACCTCTCTGCAGTTGGATAGGTTTCGTATTCTGATTCTGTACTCGGATAGCCATCGTAGCTCTACTGTACAAACACCGACAGTCAACTTGGCACCGCTGGGGCTGGGACTGCAGCACCGCCCAAATTTCGACGGGCTTTCTCCACCACATACGCAAAGCAAAGTGGCAGATTATACTCCTCTGTCTTCTGTACAATCTGCCGCATGGTATGTATGTGGTCCATGGTAATAAAGCCTTTTCGGAAACCGGCTTGTTCGGGAGGCTGGAAGTCGTCAAATCTGCGTGCGAGACGATTCGTAATGACTCTCGAAAACAGCACGTAGCCGCGGCTCAGAAGGGAAATCGGTCTGTAGTTCTTCAAGAGAGCGTTGTCGCCTTTCTTGAAGAACAAGACCACCGCACTTCTGCTCCACGCCTCCGGAGTAGTGCCACCATGGAGGACGGAATTCAAGAGCTTCTGAAGGACTTCAAGTACCGGTTTTCCACCCGCTTTCAAAAGCTCCGCTGTAATTCGATCCTCGCCCGGGGACTAGCCGTTTTTAAGGTGCTGGAGTGCCATTCTAATCTCGCTCAGACTGACGTCCGGGATATCTTCGGAATAGTGTCGGATAAGACTCGCTCTTGTATCGTAACTGCCCATAGAACCTCTCAATCTCACTCAAAATCTCAGGTGTCCCGGAAACGATGCTGCCACACTCGGTCTTCAGCTTTGACAGTTGGCTCTTTCTGGCAGACAGATCTCTGGCAAAGACTTTGGAGCTTTGGTTCCGCTCGATCGCTTCTTCAATACAAGCTGTATTGAAGTTGCGCAAGTCCCGCCGCATGCATTTGGAGATCTGTCTGTTCAGTTGCCTGTAAGCTGTCAAATCTGTTGAAGAATGTAGCTCATCTACCGTCTAACAGCCATGAGATTAAGAGTGTGATCGGAGAGTTTTTGTGTTCTTCTGCGGCGGGTCTTGCAGAACTTAGCTCCGACCGCATGGACAGTTTCCACGAGCTTGTCTAGGCCCTGAAAACGCTTTTGTAACTCGAACTGAAAGGTTTCGGGATTTTGGAACAGAGCGCGAGGGGGACGGAGCGTTGACTTCATTAAACGAGACCTCTCCAACTTAACGTTTAGGTTCAGTGTGCCTCTAACCATTCGGTGATCGCTACTAGTTTTCACCCTCGCGATCAGGGAGACATCACTGAACAGTTGTATCAAAAATAATATATATATATATATATATATATATATATATATACATATATATATATATATGTAGTTGCCACAGAATCTATTTACCTTGGACTATGTTCTTGTTTGGCAACCATACTTTAATAATAAAATTATACATAATCATAACAAAATGTTATTTATTTCCAACATATGTGCCACCTTAGTTACAATCTGCTAAAATTTAGTATCTTCAGAAATCGGATTTATAATTTGATAGTTAAATTACATAAAACTGATAATAAACTCTTGCTTTTTTATTACACTTACCTGCATTTACATAATTAGCAAACAATATCCAGCAGGCAGCAATAAGTGAGGCAAAGCCCACCACAAAACCAAGGAAAAGCCACAGCCGAGCTCCTCGTGGGCCCATACAGCCTCCTGTGTATGTTTCACCACGCACCTGTAAGGAAAAGAAAAAACTTTATTTCAGTTTTTTTTTTTTTAAATAAGGGTGAAAAATGAGCACACGGTTGACCTGATAGTAAGTGAATGTGGCCCATAGACACCTACATCTGTTCTCCATTAAGAATCAAAATGTTAATGCATTGTCACTCCTTAGGATTAAAATGGATGTTTCGTTACCAATAAAAAAAGTCTCCGGCTCTCGATACTCTCCATACAAAATACAGCAACATTAGACACAATCCTAGAAATATAGTAAATCAGCAAAAAATAGCAGCATAGTATAGCCACTTTCATTTATGTACTGCTGCTGCTGTATTCTACATTATGGAATCCTCAGGGATGACAATGCACCTGATTTTATTTCTTAATCAAAGACAGATGTGAGACTACGCATTACATGTTTAGTGACATAATTAAAAAGTATGATTACATGCTGTAAGGCATTCCATGTTTTCCCTCAGAGATACCAATGCATTTGTAGCTTTCTTTGTTATAAGTTGGCTGCAGGTGTCCATGGACTGCTGTAGCCGCTTACAGATGGGTTGTACGCATTTTGATTCTTAACCGAGAATACCACCTGATAGTAAGTGGTTGCTGCGGCCCATAGACATCTACATCTATCCTCTATTAAAATTAAAATGCAGATGCGTTGTCACCCATTAGGACTAAGATGGAACGTCTCATTTCCAGTAAAAAGGGTCTCCGATTCTCTACACTCACCATACAAACACAGCAGTGTTAAGCTGCTATTTTACGCTGGTATTCTGTGAGAGTGTGGGCCTTCCCCGGTCGTGCCGACCCATTCGTGCTACAACTATACTACTAATATAGCTACAGCATGGCTCTACCACGTAAAAATACTTTAAAAACTTACATACTTACATACATACTAAAAAAAAAAACTTAAATGCATCAAACTTCAAAATCTACAAGATATAAAAAAACTTACATAACAACCCCCATAAAAACATTTAAAATATATGAATGAACTCCCCTTCTGAGGCAGTCAGTTAAAAATATACCTGTGCATTGGAGACAGAATTGACCATCACTAGTGACAGAGTGGCCATAACTCCACACACATGAGCTGCATTAGGAAGGTCTCCTGGGTAGCATGAAGCTGCATCTATGATGAACCACCATCCAGCAAAGAACTGTGGAAATATTAATAAATAGCACTTTTATGGATTAGGTTAGGTATTATTACCATTGTTATCATCATTCACCAAGTCTGGCATGGGCTGGGGACAAAAAATTTATCCCCCGATTATATCAACTGACAAGAGATAAAATTATCTTGTCCTTATGCCAACGCTCGGCAACGGGAGAAAATTATCCCCATTTGACGAAACAAGTAGACATATATACCCCGTCCTTAGCATGGAACCAAATGAAAGATAAAAAATTATGCTATTTTTACATTTGAAAGTGTCAATTTTATCCTAGTTCATTGGACGTGGGTTGAAGTTTATATTCATACAAAAAATCTATCTAAGTCTAAATCTATTGCCCATTTTATCTACTGTGGATATTAAATCCACCAGTGTGCCCATGCTCTAAGGGTGGATAAAACTATGCAAGGGGATAAACATTTTCTCCTTTCCCTGGGGATAAAATTGTCTCCTGCCCATGCTAGCACTGCAGGGAGTTTTAAAAGATTTGTTTCAGAATCTAAAGAAGTATCTAAAATAAATGTCAAAAAGATCTCATAGCTTCCAATAGGTGGCAGTAACCATCTCATATCCACTTGTCTGTCACGGCCATTTTGGTCAATATGGTGTTTCTGTCGAACACTTTCTGAAGTACTTCCATACTACTTCCTGCTGTTCATTAAAATGACTATTTTCAAGACATTTTGTATGAAAGGTATATTAAAATCATATATCAATGGAAACTTTATTAAATAAGCTATCAGATTATGTATAACTTGAATATAGGTTTACTTCGAAAGTGATACTAATTCAAAAGTGAAAGTAAGAAAAGTGTTTTTCCCCAATTTTCTGCATTAAAGGTGTAATAACTAATAATTATAAATAAAAACCTTTAATCCAAGCACTATTTGTTTTACTTGTATGTCAAAAGCATATTTAACAATAAATAATTAAAACAAAGAAACTTCTTCATACATTTTTTGTTCATGAAAAGGTTGAGAACAATGGGCCTCACTTAACTCTACTGGAAATCAGACAAAAAATTGGGATGTTTACAATTCAATATGTAATGTGACCTTTAGACTGGACTTTTATTACATCCTTGTTCTATTCTCTTGATTACAGTAAAGTTAGAGAGAGATAGTATTAGTAGTACTGATATACATTGATCTCTAAAGCTTTACAGTAAAACAATGCCAGATTATGGACTTTGACATATGCCCATATTATTCTGACACGCCAGAATATGGCATTTGGACGTTATATGGCACATCTAAAATATCTTGACCAGCTATATGAAGCTTTTTCAAAGGTAATAGATATATAGTACTGTCTATCAAATGTGCTTTCAGCAAATCCTTTCAAGAAAAAATGGGAGATATGCCCATATTTAGCATGCGATGATGAAGAAGTAATAAATAATTATTTTCTATTATTAATTTAAGATTAAACACATAATTAGATATTACCTTATAAACGAGGAAAAAAGAGACCGTCAGAATTGATCAAATGTTATACAGAAAATAACCCAGGTAGCATTAACTTGGCTTAATTTTCATACACAAATTTAAATATACAAAATATATTAAATACAAAACAGTGTATACAAGAACCTTAATATATTTCAATCAATGAAGATATTAAAAAATATGCATGTCATTATCATAAAATTGTAACCTATGATCATGAGGTAATGTAGTAAATGATATAGTACTTTTGCAAATTCACAATAGCTTTACTAAATATGTTACAATGGCTTTTATAGCTATTCAAATATAAATTGACCAGAACATAAATATAAATGAACCACTTCTTTTTATGTTTATGACTATATAATATATGATCAACAGTCAGGAACTTATTAAAACATAATATATTAGCAGCAATAGATAATGACTAAGAGCATAATTTCTCTTATATTTCCTAACTTTCATTTTTTAATGTCAAAACAAAACTTGAATGTACACAAATTTATTTGTTGGCGTTTATAAAATTAGCTGATTTCTTTACCTATACTAAAACAATAGGAGATTAATAAGTAAATAAATAGAACGATGAATCCTGATTGTTCAATAATTCAAAATTAGTAATGAATCACAAAAAGGACGCACCAAAATACCAGCAAACATTGAAGCCAAGGTGTTCCGTTTATCCCCGCCATCAAACCACACACAACTAGGTAAAGTAACATTCTCGAAGCAATTCATTTTGCTATATAATTTAAAATAGAATTATGACCGATATTTATGATTTTATCATACAAAAGGAAAGCACTTCGGGCAGTATGATAAAGTAGGTAAATAAAATTGAGATTTGAGATTGACAAGTGACACTGACAATTTATTGCATTGTTGCCACTAACCACTCGCATCCAAAAAGAATATAATCACTACGTTTACTCGCATCCATGCTAAAAACGTAGATAGAGGATTGACTAGATAAAGCATTCGCGTATGCTTTTGAGATAGAAATAGGCGGGAGGTACTTTCACTGGGTTACCAGATATTGTTCCATTTCCCCCGTTATGGGTTTATTTATATTCACAGCACATACAAAAAACATACAAAAAACTTAATTGTTACCATAAAAAATGTTCTTTTATAATTCAGATAATTAATTAAGTTCTCTTGAAAATACATTCTGTGACTAAAAACTACGGGCGGAAACGGCGTAAAAACAAAATCATCATTCTGTATTCAACGGCGCATCGACGATTTTACTGGACATTCAATAACTCTTTGGATTTCGACGGCACTAAGTGAAGGCACTAATAGTACAAAGTGTGATATCGCTAATAAATAACAATATGTTATGTATGTACTTAAATATTAATTGAGAATAAAAATATTAAATAATAAACAAAAATTTCCTTGTGTCAAGTTTTGTTGCTTTTACAAAAAAAAACAATGTTTTAACATACCATTCCATCACAAGTTCAGTGCTGAACACAGACCTTCGAAAGGAAAGGGTTTCCACTTACGTTTTGTAGTACAAAACACGGTTATGAGCCTACTTTCGCGATTTCCTGCATGTTTTGCTAAGTTGGTGTCTTGTGTGCGGCAAGTTGTGGCGTACAAGAGAATTTGTCTGTACACGGGATGATATTACCCCGCATCGTAAGCAATAATACAAGATGGGGATGGGGCAGCAGCACTTTCCCGATGTAAACTTAAAATAATAAATAAATGCGGTGGCCAACCAGCATAACATATATTTTCACGCAGGCGTGGAAACTATGGCAAAAGTCATCCTATGAGGATATCTGTGGAAGGCCTTTATTAGGTGACTTACTTATGGTTACGTGGCTTAATCATGTTACCTAATGGTTAAGGTGGTAAAATGTTTAGTTAATATTTTTTTTTTATAGGATCGGGTGACAAACAGGCACACAGTCCACCTGATGGTAAGTGGTTACTGTGACCCATAGACATCTAAATCTATCCTCAAAAAAGACTCAAGATGCAGATGCGTTGTCACCCGTGAGGACTAAGATGGAATGCCTCTTTGCCAGTAAAAAGGGTCTCCGGTTCTCTACACTCACCATACGAAACACAGCAGCGTTAAGCTGCTATTTAACGCTGGTTTTCTGTGAGAGCGTGGTCCTTCCCCGGTCGAGCCGACCCATTCGTGCTACAACCATAATATAGCTGCAACATGGCTCTACCACGTAAGAAAATATACGTTGTAAAGCATCAAAAAAGGGTTTGTTTTTGTAATATGTTGGTATATAAAACAAAAACGAATGTTTTATAATATTCTATTTTAATTTACCATGCAGTGTAAGATTATCTGCTATCTCATATCATTCCATGGGTGGTGTATGAGGCGACATAGGGAAACATCAAAGAAGATAAACAGCAGCATTGTCCTGATAACAGCTAAATAAAAAAAAACAGTGGTTGACAACCCGCTTTCCAAGCGTTGAAACTATGCGAAATAACTATAATCATGTTTATGTTCAACAGTGGACTTTTGATAGACTGTAAAGATATATATTCTATTTAAATGAAAATATATTGAAATTTAAAAAGGAAAAAGAACTAAATTTTGTGTACTTACATAACATTTAGAAATATTAACAATGTATGTAACATTCATAAGTAAAAGAAATGAAAACACAATTATATATTAAATATAATTCAATAAAATCAAAATAAACAAATGATTACTTATTAATTTTTGATCACATTAATAAACAACAAATTTAACAAAATTTTTGTCTTCTTTCCTTGTAATTTTCGTTGTAATTCTTGGTTTGAGTAGCTTTAGAATTTCTCAAAAATGTGCATTTGTAAACTTGATTTATTCTTGGGTGCTGGTCGTTAGAATTGGATTAGAAGGGAGTATATATATGTATATATATATTATTTGCCTTGTATATAATATATTCTAATGGTATAAATAATAAGGTACAACTCCTAAACTATACTTAGATAGGTAATACTTATCTCTTGTCAAAAACATCTTTATTAATGTCATTATTTATGACAATTAAATAGAAATTATCATTATTATTACATTTATTTCTTAATTTATTTACACATTAATGTTTATAACACCTTTATAAAAGGGATTAAGGGTGGACTAAATGTCCCATTGGTAGGCATTCCCAGTCAGTTTTACAATTATTATTGCATAATAAATTATTCATTTGTATATTTTGGTGAGGACTTTAAATTACTTATTTATTTCTTTTATTTAAATCTTTATTTGCATAAAACATGGCAGTACAGATAAAGTTCCAACATTTGTAAATGAGGATTCATGTTTAATCAATACATTTATAAGTAAATATTTTGTCATTGTCATGCCACCCAATTATTACAAGTCATAATAATACAGAATGTCAGCATTTTAAAATAAAATAAGCAATGCTAGTCAATTTTTAATACATACAGAACAATGTCAAAAATCATAACTACCAACAAGATCAAACTTATATCACTTATGGAGAAACAACAAGATACAACAAGAAATTATAACATTTAAAAAAATTATCTTAATTATATTATAGATTACATAAGTTAAGCATATTTAGTCCATCTAAAACAATGAGGCTTAAAATGTTTTGAGCATACACTGCTAAGTTTTGTTGGTTACCTATAATCACTACCAGTAGCGATTATCCAACAGTTACGGATAGCTGATTCCTTAGGAAAGCTGTGAAATAATATATTTAAACGAAATTAATATATTAAATATATAGTACACTTTTATATCAAGGTATTTAACAAAAAAAATCATGTATGTGTATCTTTGCATAAATACAATACCTATAACAATTAAAACAATATCAATTGATTGAATTAAATAACAAGTATATGTAAATGTAATGATAATATTATTCATACCAAACATTTTAAAAAATTATGTACATATTAAGCTTTAGATATTGTTAATTAATACATTTACAGCCTAACAAATGTCCTCCACCGCTGAACATAGACCTCCGACACAGTATGTCTCCAAATAACTGCAGTTGCCAATTCTCCTGCCAAGCTAGGCAACTATCACAAAACCTATAACTTTTGACTTTTGATACTGACTAATGGTAACGGTAAGTATATTATCATCAAATTTTTTCTACATCTTTAATTGAGAATATTATCTTATGTTGTTGTGTTATTGTGTACCTTAAGATTAAGACTTATTTATTTATTTATTATTTTATCTATGTTTATATTTATTTTTATATTAGTATGACATATTTTTTTTTAATAAATATTGTAATGTAATTGTTGCTAATGTATAATAGAATTAATGGAATGCAATAAAGTTTTGTGCATCTGATTTCAGGCAATACATATTTTGTGAAATTAAATATACTTTGCCCAATGTTTATGTACTTGAATCCAAATTGTTGTTTTCAGGTTGATACTTACATAATATTATTTGTGACGTCTATGTAATATGGAAAATGATTGAAGAATTGTAGGGCAATAAGGAGTTTCCTTTAAAGCTGAACATAAAAGTGTATGTATATGTATAACATTATGTGATTCATATTTATGGACATAACTACTAATCACAATAACAATTATTATTCAACAATGCGAAAACATTATTGTACTCGCTGATATCCCTAAAGTTTCTATAATCCTACCAAATCAAAAAGTACACGTTTGTTATGACTTTAAGCTTTCGAATGACCGTTCAAATTAAGGAGCATTATCATGAAGAATTTACAATTTGGGAGTCCAAATATTTGACAAAATACATCACAAAGTTCATTAAACACATGAAATGTTACACTTTATATTCAAAACAATAGATATTAATCAGTACAAGTAGCAAATGTAAGCACAAAACAAACTTACCGATGAAAGGTAATATTATCAATTTTTCGTTGACTGATGCTGTTGCATCCTAAATTGCTACAACTTACCATCTTTTTAACCTTACCTAATAACTAAAACCCACAAACAACACTAAATTCAATTACCTGTTTGCTTATAATATCAATGTTATTCACAAGAGCTTGACATCGTTAATGTCAAATAAAGGAGGGAAAACAATCAAAAACTGTCAAAAACGCATACCTAGAAAAAGACAAGAAATATAAATTTGCTTCTCCCTTACTCTTATGTATAACTATATACGTGCATTCCTTTCACACGCTGATGACGTCATGGAATGTTTAGTCTATAATATACTATGTCTATGGCTAAAAATCTTAGCAAAAAACAAAAAAAAGCTAATTTTTTATTATGATTTTTGGCATGGATGCTTGTTCTTTAAGTCATGTCTTCATTTCATTCGGGACCTTCGTTTTTATTGATTTTCAGTATCAAGTGATAATAATCATTTATAGTACACTACTTTACAATATCTTGATGCGTAACATTGCATAGTTTTTGTGAGATTTTGGCAGCAACTTGAGCCAGGAAACAGTTTGCGATAGTACCTCAAGGCGCCTAAGCAGACAGACACATTATCTTGAAATTCACATCACCATCGGATCACTTGTTTTACCGTTTTTACTAATAGAATTCACATGCGCAGATATTTAATACATAAAATCGCATCACTTTTACATATCAAAATCCACTTCAAACCATTATGTAAACAATAATACAGGAGCAGCAATCCGCCTCCGTTCAAGTTCCACTCGCCAGCTTGCCAGCAAAGAGTACAGGTAACTTTTTAAGGTGAAAGTGCCAGGGTAACCCGCAAAATTCAAATTTTCTTACGTTTTTTGCAATTTGTA